ACAGATTAAATTAGGTTTTCAAAGGTAGTTAGTAACCCAAAATTAGAATCAATACCTTCTAAGCACAAAGAGATTTAGGGAAGTTCTATATACAAAAGGACATATTTTATTCACATTAGCAAAAGAATATTTTAAAAGTATTCACCCATGGTTTCTACAAATTCCAAACTCACCTAATGTAATTTAAGTATGTTTTCAGCTTTTAAATTTGATCTTGTTGTTGTTCAGTCGCTAAGTCGTGTCTAACTCTTGGCGACCCCAAGAACTGCAGCACACCAGGCTTCTCTGTCCATCACTATCTCCCTGAGTTTGCTCAAACTCATGTCCATTGAGTCAGTGATGCCATCCAACCATCTCATCCTCTGTCGCCCCCTTCTCCTCTTGCCCTCAATTTCTCCCAGCAAAATTTGATCTACACACTCCTTTTCAGGAACATTCCTCTTCTGTTTCAAATACAGACCACACAGCTTCCAAGACAACCTCTTTTAATTCAGATAATACAAAATTTAATTTAAATTATAAAGTGTGTGTACTTGCTACAATCTGAATTTATTCAATTTTCCCACTCTACAAAATTCTGTTCATGAACATTTTAAAAACTCACATTTGCAAATGTTCCATACAGTTCAAAAAACTCCAAATGTGTGGAAACAGCATTTGCCAATTCAAATTTATACTGTTCTATCAAACTCTGACACTTGGAGACATCTCCACTTTTTTTTTAATCTTTCATTTTCCTTTCCTTTAGATCTAGAAGAGAATTAAATAGAAATATTCCAAAAAAGGTCAGAAGAGCGTAACTCATCTGAATGTTTTAAACTAACTTTATAATTTCAATTTTAAGAGTAACACCAGAGCACACTTACTTTATTTGTTGTGTTTTCACAACTAAATCATTTGCTAGAGAATATTTTAATTTCAATCTAAAAGTTAAATCAGTAGTCAAACTGGTATGATTTTATCACTTTTCTTATTGAATAATATTCAGAACGATTAGATACTTGAATATCTTATGCTTTGTAAATTATAAAACTCTTCAAAAACAAAGATTTTTATTATCACCTCAAAAAGATGGTTTATAGCATGTTGCAATGACATGATATTCCTTCTACATCTTAGATCATTCTCCTGTCAACACTATGGCTACATTTAAAAACTTACACACCTGAGGCTTCAGATCCCCAAAGATTTTTCAACTCTTCCTCTTTCCTTGCATTTACCTCAGTGCTTTTTTTTTTTTTTACCTCAGTGCTTTATAATCATGTATTATTTCATATAATTTGAAGCAAGTTTAAATATATTATTTTATTTGATCCTTAAAGTAAGTAATACTGCTTTCATTTTACTGCTACACCAACCAAATTCAAGGACTTACCCGTATTTACAAAATTAGAAAGTGACAACCTGACTCTTTCCTCTTTAGAATTCACTGATGATGTGTCACATATAACTTCAACTCTGAACTTTCTTTTTTCCCAAACATAACCTGTATCAACAACCTGTATCTATTTTCATTCTTATGATGTTACTGCATCCAAGAGATTATACAGCCAATATGTTCAGGTTAGGACATAAAGATAACAGAGAAAATGGTTGATTGTCTTAACTGTAAACATTAGCATTTTTAAAGACTTTTAAATTAAAAGACTGTTAAGGAAAAAAACAAAATGTTTTCAGTAAGACTATAAATTTTTTAAAAATTAAAGCAACCCACACTTTTCAGTAAGAATTAGGTTTAGTCAACAAAGAATTGATCCAGGTATTTAAAAGCACACTGGGATAGAAGGTGAGTGGCCTCTCTCTGGCTTCTCAGACCCTGCATTCATTAGTACTGGTAAATAATCAAACTACCAGGATTTTCTGATGTAGCTGGAAAATTACTCTGAAAGCAAAAAAATAATAAATTGCTACTTAAAAATGTGAAATGTATTTCCAAGGATGAAATTCTCTTTCTGAACTCCAAAGAGTATGTGATATGATTTGCTCAAGGAATAATAATGTATTTTACCAAAGAAAAATAGGTTCAGTCTTTCTATTAAATCAACTCTACCCCAAGCCTAAATACAGGCACTTAACTTTATTTCTGCCCACTAAATTTAGAGTTTATCCTTTTATTTCTAGGGCATATACTAAAGAAATATTTTCCTTTACCTTTTTTTATATAAGAAAAACCTGCTACATATAAGACAGATTGGCATTCAGGTGCCTCACTATCACAACTTTTTCTCAGTGCTTCTCTTTAAGAGCTAAATGTACCAACCTGTGAGAAGTCATTTGCTTAAAAACAGCTACACTTCTCATTGTAAATGTCTTGAGTACAAAGAGAGTAAGTAATATTTGCATTCCTGCATGTCCCTCCCTTTCTAATGCCTACAATTCAAAAGACATGTATGTCAAGTAGGGCTTTACTACTACTGCAGCTTAATGAATAAATGTGGAAGACTAACTATGGATGCATTCAATGTGGATGCAACCGGAAGAGAATATGAAAGAAAGAAGAGTGGGAAGGATGAAAGGTCAGTGTATTTTCAGTGCTTAACTGCTTTGCCCTCATAACAATATCAAAGTTTTTAAACACTTAAATAACCCTTCAATAGTTTTACTTGATATTAAAGCAAAAATGTACAGAATTTATATGGAATACAGAATGGTCTTTAACAAATAAAACATAAAGTTTATCTCATTCAGAAATAAAATATTAAGAGCACCATGTCTCACACAATTTCTTTCTGCCCCACAAAAAATTTAATGAATCTTAGCAGTTAATTACTTGTCCTACAAATTAAAGGGCCACCCAAGCCTAAACAGTTCTTGAGACTACTGACATAAAGTCACAACAAGAAAATTATTTCTTTCAATTACCTAGGATATGTATATACAATACTATTAATTTGTTTTTAATTAAAGCACCACTATAGCAGAATGCTAAAATCTTCATATAAATGAGTGCATAAAATCAAACTGACAAGTGTCAGTGATTATCACATGTGATTATTTTGGTTAATGTTTACTCACTTTAAAAAGACCATTATTACTGGGGTCATTTAAATTAAATCTAAATTTTATGAATGAGTACATCTGCATGATATCACACTATCTAAGCACTTGAAATTTTTTGATGAGAATCATAAAACAGTGAAAAAACTAAGCTACAACTTTCATTTGTTTTCTGAAATTCCACATACTCTAAAAGCAAACTCAGACTTAATTTTTAAAGTAGTCCTTTTTTATAATCTTTTTAACTACTGAATCACTGATTTAACAGCTAATGAATTAGGAAGCATTTCACCATAAGTGAATTTCTTACAAATACCAAAATTAATTATGTCAATATCCCTGAAGGCCACTGGAAGGACTAATAAACTATGTACTTTTTCAAAACTGGAAGCTAATTCAATCGCAATTCTGTCAGTTTGGAAGCCTAAGAAAAGAATCTTATGAATTAAACCAGAAATTCAAAAAGCTAGTAACTTTAACAAAAGAAAAGAAAGGATTAACATCAAAGAAGTACCATTTCTCATCCTCTTCTATCACAGAGAGATTCAACTGTGAGTGCCTTCAAAGTAAAAAGCTTCCTTTGGTCAAAATCAAAAGCAAAGAGAGTTAATTATGGACTAAGACAGCATCTTTCCTTGTACAGTCTAATGCAGAGGCTCTCCATCAGGGGCACAAAGAGCCCCCAACCCCAGAACACCTGGCAACACCTGGAGGCACTGTTTACCATCACAAGGAGGAGGGGATGCTAAAATGCCTGGTTCCCATTTTCCAAGTGCCTCCTGAGAACACTGTAGACATTTTCCACCTTATGAAAGTAAGTAAGCCCCCTAAAAAGAAACACTCACTGAGATGCAGCTTGGTGGCATGAGGCCAAATAACTGCCTTCCCACCACAAACTGTATATTTGAATGGTCCCAAAAAGACCCATCAAGCTGGGGGTCACGGACGTGTGCAGAGTTCCAACACTGGATGCTAACAGACAAAAACCCCAGGCTGGTCTAAAGTCAAACATCATGACTAAACAAGATTTCTCTGCCTGCCATTGCCAACTCAGGAAGTTGACTTAATACGAATCAATCAAAGACAAATCTACAACATGCCCACTACATTTTTAAGAGAATTGTAGAAAATGTCCAAAAGTCTGGTACAGTTGCTGAACTGCTAGAGCCTTCATCAGAATAAATGAGCTTCAAGCAGAGCTGAGGCTGAACCACTCCCAGGAGAGAAGCCTCTCCAATGCCCATCTCTTGAGTAGGGGGCTGACAATGGCACCAAGAGACACCCACCCAGACAGCAGAGCTAGAGACCAGCTACTGAGAATGAGGGAGGCATTCCCGAGGAGAAAGAGAGAATTATTCCTATTGTGGTCCAGCCATCCTGGTGTATGCTAGTTTCCTTTCTCTCCTTTCTGGGCAGTGATTTTACACCAGGTAACCAACTTCTCCTACACCACTGTGTATGTAGGGGTATGCTGAAACTATCCGAATTCACCACTTATCACAGGCAGAGGTAGAGATGGCGGGTAGAGGAGAAGAAATGAGAAGGCCTGAAAGGATTACTCATTGAAAACTGGAAACAGTGAAAACTCGCCTTTAGGTCACCACACTCTGGGGAGGAAAGAGATATACTGGGTTTTGGTCTCAGGTGGAACAGCCAATGACGAATATGCTAACCATCAACATATTCTGTAGTTTGAAAGACCAGCTATGAAACAGGCCCCAGAAAAATAGATTTACATCAAGTTTTATACAAAACTTAGGAACCTAGTTATTTAGATTAATCCTCTCTCTCCCCCACCACCCATAGATCTCATATTAAGTACACAAGAGTGTTGATAACTACAAAATCTGTTGAAGAGTAGGAAAACTAAAAAACAATGTATATGCTTATTCAAAATGTGAACCAGGTTAATGTTTCTGCCACTGTCAGGAAAAGAGCAATTAACCAACCCATGTAGATTACAGACACTGGGCTTTACTTCAGGGGCTCCGTATTTTCCATACCATTTTTGTAAGTAGTCCAGTGCCTCCAAACGAGCACCAATCTCAAAAGTGATTCCAGGACGATTTGGGGGCTTTTTACTCATCTTGAGATCCTATTCTTCAGGATTCTCTTTTCACTACCTCAAGAGAGAAAAAAAAATGTTAGCTTCTGATACATAAAAGGCACAAGTGATTAAACAGAATTTTTTAAACATTACAAGTTAAAATAACCACCAAATTTTTAAGAAATTTGAATGATGATTGCCAATAAAAGTACTGTGCAACTTTCAGGCAATCTTACTAATAAATTAAGAAAAAGGACATTAAAAAGGTAGTTACTTTAAAAGAATGAACAAATGAGGATTAACACTAATGGTTAAAGTGATTTAAATTTTAACTTGAAAATATCCAAGAAAATTCTTCAAGATAACAGTTGAAAATGTTTTGCTATCTTTGAAAAATCAAGACAACTGAGTGATCTGGCACATGACTACTGAAATTCTTAAGAGAACAAATTAACCAAGTTTTTCAACTAATATTTATTGAGTGCCTTATAATATAAAGCACTTGATAAGTCACTAAAGATCATAAAGATGAAAGAAACAGTACACACACTTCTAGTAAAGATTTTAGTAATTCCTCTAGTGATTAGGATTTTTCACTACCTATGATCTCCCACCTGGTAGCACATGATTCAATAATTTTAGCTAACATAAAGTTACAGAGGAAACCTCATCTTCTTCACATTCAGTAAGCAACAGTGACACAGAGTTTTAACTCTGAGAATTTCTACTATATTTCTATATAGACAGTACCCACATTGGCAATAAAAGGCTGTAGTTCAAACAAAAAACTACAAAGGAATACCTATTCCTCTTTAGACCATGGACATGTAGAATATTCAACTATCGTTTTGGCCAGTGGATGTTCAGCACACTTGGTAGTCTCTTTTTCACAAACTAACACCTGAGGAACATGGATGCATTTTGAGACAGCTCAATCAAAATATATTTAATCAGGACTAGAAACCTACTGCTAATGTGGGAGAGGAGAAATCCTTAAAAACCTTTTTGAAATTAAGAATTACAAATACGACTATGCTCCCTCCCAGTTTAAAAAAGAAAACACACCAACTGTACCGTGCTTTTTCAATGGTTTTGTCACAACTGAAAAGGGACAAAACATAACAGCAAGCATAAAAAACCAACTGCCTTTTCCTCTTAGAATCTACTAGGTAAGGCAACGTACATGCCATATATGCCAAATATAACAATACATGCCATTAAAAAAATGTAAAAATCAAACTTAAATACTCATGGAGTGGTGAGTAGAGGGGAGAAGGGGGCGGGGGTGATATCCTCCTGCCGGCCACGGCAGCAGCAAAGATTAGTGCATTAAAGTTAACAGCAAGCTCAGCCAGAGGGCATTCTGTATAAAAGAAACAATAGTATGAATACTTTTAATAACGGTCTGGTCAGTGTGCAACATCCAAGGCGGTTACTTAAACGTTTTGCGTAGAAATCGAATCCACTTTTCCTACTGCTCTTCACAAGGAAAACTTAGGAAGGGTAACCGACCAGTTACACTAACATTTTCTAGGCTCAAACTTAGAACCCACAAGAAGTGATCAAGTTAGGACATACAATCCTCTCAGAGGTGCTTCTGGATGAGGTTTCAGAAAAAGCAAGATTTCCTTTTCTTGAGTGGAGAGGGGCAGATGGGGAGAGATGTGAATTAAGGAAAAGTAAGACCAAGTAAACAGTTCTATTGAGGGGTAAAACTTGAAGAAAAAGAGAAAGGGTGACAGAGAGAACGAAGAGGGGGAAAAAAAACTGGAAAGGAAAATGAACAAGAAAGCATAAGGACTGTGAAACTTGTGGACCTGATAAACGGCAAGAAAAGAAAATTTAGCAAGACACACAACACTGGGAGAGTGAAGCCGGGGTCAGGGAACGGCCGCGGGGCCAAGGAAACGGTGGTGGTTCCAAGGAGAGGGGGGTGGTTGGTGATGCGGGACGGGAGGGAGGTGACCAGAGACCGACAGGAAAAGCTCAAACCCGGCTCGCAGGGTGTAGGAGACGCCTCCGGGTTTGACAGCCGTCCGGCCCCCGGCGAGAGGCGGAGGGGGAAGGAAGGGAGGGGGAGACAGAGCGGCGGCGCCCAGACAATAGGGGCGGCGAGTTATGGGGAGGGACGCGGGCCAGAGACAGACACCAGCGCGGGGGTGTCCCGGTCGGCCAGGCGGAGGACCCGGCGGGCTCCAAGCCCTGCCGCCGCCGCTGTCTCTTACCGACTCGGCCTCCTCTTTTTTGCACAGGTGTCGGGCTGTCCGGGGCCGAGCCGGGGCGCGAACAGGACGGCCAGCCCGGGCCTCCGCCACCGGCCTCCGCCCAGGCAGCGGTAGCGGAGATAGGAGCGAGCCGGGGCCGCAGCGCGGGGTCGGGCCCGAGGTCGCGCCGGGGAGGGAGCAGGTCCGAGCGCTCAAGCCCGCTCGGTGTCCGCTGCCATCGCCTCCTCAGCCGCCGCCGCCGCCGGCCAGCCCTGACGCGACGCCGGGCCCGGCGACGTCAGCCGTCCGCGACGCGCCGGAAGCGGGCCTGGGCGCGTCACGTGACGCAAGAGGGTTGGGCGCGGACCGCGCGGCCGATTGGAGGGCCGCCCTGGGAGGCGGGGCTTTGCGGCAGTTGGCTGACCGCTGGCGGCAGGGGCTCTGGTTAGCAACTGAGGAAAGCGGCCCCGGGCGCCTCATTGGCAGTTGTGAAGTGTTTGACCTTTGGGAGATGAGGCCTAAACCCACTGAATGTTAATGCTGTTGATTTGTTGTTAACCGGGCTCTCAAAATTTCCTCAATCCCTGCATCCTGAGCAAACTTTTGTACTGATGTATGCACACTTCACCCCCATTCCACGTAAAGAATAGAGCAAGTGGTTACTGTTATAAAAGTGAATAAACGTCTATTGAATGCCTCCTTTATGGCAGGCCCTGTGCTGTGAGTGCATCACATGACAACTACAATCGCACAATTGTATTCCTTTATAGGAGATCCTTACAACACAAAAGGCAAATATTACTAAGACATTTTGTGCGGGGTTGCCTGTGGAGGACGAGTACAGCTGAAGAACCTATGGCTAAACTGAAGTGACTTTCCTAAGAATAGGGCTGTCTTGATGGCTCAGATGCTAAAGAATCTGCCTGCAACGCGGGAAATCCAGGTTCGGTCCCTGGTTTGGAACATCCCTTGGAGAAGGACATGGCAACCTAAGAATAAATGAAGAATGGCAGCAAAACTTCTTTTCTTGAACACGTACCGTAACCCAAACTCTGTACTAGTCACAGAAGAAAGCATCCCCACTGTCAGGGAAATTAGTAAGTGAACATATTGAAAGAATTTTGAGATAAACATCTTTTTTCTCTTTCCAGGTTGCCACTCTGATTCTCAAGCTTTCTATATGCAACATTGCATACAAACAACACAATACTCTTATCACACTTTACAGAGTGGAGTTAAAATAGCAAAGTATCACTCTTTAAGCTTCCAGTATAGTGAGATTAAGTAATTTAAATAACTGCATCCATATCCTTTATTCAACAGACATTCAATCAGCTCTTACTATGTTACTTATAGCTACTGAATTACACTGAAAGATGGCAATATACAGAAATATATAGATAAGACAATCTCTGTGGACATTTGTCTCGGTTTTTCTGTTGACCAGTATCTGAAATCCCTTTCCATGTGTGGGAAATTTCCATTGCGGTTGTCATTAGTACAGGACACCACATGTTCCCAGAATCTTATGTACACGTGAGTACATGTGCACCCTCCTCAGAATTATGTGCGACCATTCAATTTTCTCTGGCTAATAAAATGAAATTGGAAGTTTTGTCATAGCCAGTTGGTAATTTAAAAAGCCAATTCACCAAGCTGTCTCTGTCTGGCACAGTGAAATGCAATTTCTGACATGGTTACTGTCCTAACAACCCATATTCTAAAGAGATTATGATGATGCTGATCCACAACTGATACATAGTATAAGGAAAAAAATAATTCTTGGTTTAAGCTATTGAAATTTTGAAAGTTGTTTTTTACCTAATGAAAACTGAAATACACACCCACCTTCTGAGTCTTAGGGTGAAGACTTCCAACCTTGCACTCAATAAGATGAAAGTATAGGAAACTCATGTTCTCAGTTTCCCTTGCAGCTAAAGTTCCATTCTCATCTATACCAATTAGCCTCTCACACTGATAACTGTGTATCAGAAGCTGCTGGTGATGCTCAAAATGAGAAAAAAAAAATTTCCAGCAGCACTGGCAATACCAGTAATCACATTTTTTATTTCAGCCCAGAGCTAACTAACTGAACCCTGGCAAAAATCCCTGCTGACCCACAAACCAGTAGGTGAGAAGAAATATGTATATTCATTGTTTTACATCACTGAAAATTTGAGGTTGTAATTTAAATAGAATATGTACATAAAGGATAGCAGAGATTCTATCCAGTCTCCACAGTTGGCTGACAATCTACCAATTTACCCTGAACAGATGATTCTTCCATTTTAATTGGGATTTAACAAGAGATCCCTCCAATAACGTAATTTGAAAGAAAATAAATGGAAACTAGGTCAAATGTAAATGATTCCTTGCTTGAGTGGATTGTATGGGTGAGGTTTCTCAATGGAGTCAATACTTTTCTGTAAAGGGCACCTTGGAAATGGATGGGGCTTGAGAAATCTGTATGCAGGTCAGGAAGCAACAGTTAGAACTGGACATGGAACAATAGACTGGTTCCAAATAGGAAAAGGAGTACATCAAGGCTGTATATCGTCACCCTGCTTATTTAACTTATATGCAGAGTACATCATGAGAAATGCTGGGCTGGAAGAAGCACAAGCTGGAATCAAGATTGCTGAGAGAAATATCAATAACCTCAGATATGCAGATGATACCACCCTTACGGCAGAAAGTGAAGAAGAACTAAAGAGCCTCTTGATGAAAGTGAAAGAGGAGAGTGCAAAAGTTGGCTTAAAGCTTAACATTCAGAAAACTGAGATCATGGCATCCGGTCCCATCACTTCATGGGAAATAGATGGGGAAACAGTGGAA